CACCCCTCTCTCTCTTTCTCAGACCTGTGCCCTCAGTAGGGAGATGATGCCTGGGGCTGCTCCCCTGGACTCTGCCCCAGGCCCCAGGCTCCTCTGTGGTGTTGTCCTGTGTCTCCTGGGAGCCTGTGAGTCAGGGGCACTGGTGGGGCAGAGCCTGGTTGCTGGAGCATCCTATGCCCTCCCGGGCAAGGCCTTCATTGCTGTCTCTTCCTGCCCAGGTGTGGTGCATGCTGGGGTCCTCCAGACCCCCAGACACCTGATCAAAGCCAAGGGAGGAAAGGCCACTCTGCAGTGCTCTCCTGACTCTGGACATGATACTGTGTACTGGTACCAGCAGGCCGAGGACAAGAGCCTCCAGCTCCTCGTTTCCTATTTTGGAGAGTCAGAGCTAGAGAAAGGAAGCATCCCTGGCCGCTTCTCAGCTCGGCAGTTCAGTGACTATCACTCTGAGCTGAACATGAGCGCGTTGGAGCTGAGGGACTCCGCGCTGTATCTGTGTGCCAGCAGCTTGCACAGCCCTGCACAGGGCCTGGCTTTCTCTACCCAAACCTTCCTGCCCCAGCTGAGGATGTCACTGAGGGAGGGATGGGGGTTTGAGGCCCAGCCTTAGTAAGCCCCAGGAGCCTTCTCCAGCTGTGGTAACCCTTCTCTGTCCTGCCCAGCTCAGACAGCTTCTGAGCCTTGTATTTCCTAACTCTCTGGACTGTCTCTGCTTTGTGCTTTAATGCACATTGGATATTATAATGCAAACACAGTCATTAGAGTATCCTCTTTATATGCAGGAGATGTTAAGGTATCAGTTCATAGATGGAAAGCTGTAGCTCATGGATTTCCTAACATTTAATATTTAAAAGGATCAGTGCTGGGATAGAAGTGTGCATTCACCACCCCTAACCTGAAGTGCCCCTGGGGCTCTATAGTGTTTTCTGGTCTGTAAAATAGCAGATAGACCAGCAATGTGTGTCCACTGCAAGATCAGCTGAGCAGCAACGGTAAGTCTCATTATGGATTGTGGTTGTTCTGAGATAGTGCCTGCCATCAACTTTCAGGACAGAGAGCATTTATCCAGAGAATGGGCCCTATGATAAGTTGAAGAAGAGATACATGTTTTCAGCAAACTAAAATTTTAATTCTGTAATGAATTTCAAAATAAATGAGAGGTACATACTTATAGCTGATACTGATACCCAAAGAAATTATTTTTTCAAAGCCTATCAAAATAGGTAGATTATACCTTATTTTAAAATTGATCCTGGGAACTTTGATAGTCCCTGTACCTTTAACCGGACCCCTCAAGGAAAACGCAAGTCTCAGCCAAACTCCAATATGTATCCTACAAAATTAAAAAGAGTAAGGGAAGGATGTGGGTAGGAGCAGCACAGGTGAAAATGTTTCAAGGGGTGACGTTGATCACTATAGCATTTCCCCATAACAGTCTTGTTCAATGGAAAATCCTTAATATATTTACATAAAGAATATAATTAAACATATTTATATGTATATGTACATATGTTCAAAAAAGAAATCTTTCTTTCCATGGCTTGTCCCAACCATGCTCCACAGGCTTCTTTTGTTGTTATCTCTTGAGCTCTAGGACCAGCTGGGTCTTCCAAGGCCAGAGCACTAGGCTCTCATTGGATTCTGTCCACCTACTGTGTCTAGTCCGATTCTGTATTCCTCCTCACTAGACCAAGAGGGCAGCAATGTCATCAAGATTCAGTCCCCTTGTGTGGTTGCAGGATGGAGA